GCTGTCACCTAAATAAAATGCCATTTGTCATGGAGAAAGAAACAACAGAGGTTAAAAATTTTAGGCCAAGATTGCAAAATTCACTGTGCAAGATTTCATTGATGGTAAATTTAATTTTTGGAAATTTATAGCGCTTAAAAGGACCCCACTTTTCAAAGAAAATCGCCTCTAGTAAAGAAAATTGCTGATATTTTTGACTGAAATTTCTGGTATCGGCTTTTATTGATATAATAAATATGCTAGATAAAGTTCAGCAAATTCTTTGGAACAAAGTCGGTCGGAATTCAGCTGCGAAATTGTTGTGGAATTTCACTAACAAATTGCTACCTAAGATAGCCAAGACAACATTTTGAATTTTCGGGACAGGTAATTTCAGCGTTTTTTTATTTTTAAAACACAAGCCAATTGCCAATCGTGCTATTCTTTAAAAAGTACTTTTTGGTTTTAGGGGCGCTTTGATTATTGCTCCAAACCTTGCTCTGGAGTCGAATGACTTGTTCCTCGAAAATTTTTCAATATCCCTTTCCAGTTTTGACTGACACTCCTGCTTCATATATTTTGATATTTTGATTGCAATGCATCTTCAACGGCTTTCACTGCTGTTCATTGCTTCCAGTTCAAAAAAAAGGTCCTGGAATTGAACACTACCTTGAATCAAAGCTCACATAGAACTGTCAAACACCATTGTTTATGACTACAAAATGAGCACGGGCAGCAGTTCTGCAAAGAATTCGCACCTCGCCCAGTGGGAACGAACAACAATGAAACCATACCTGCGAACCGATCTTTTTATTGGAGAGCAAAGTATAATAATCAAGAAAACTACTACCCAGCCACTGAAGGAAGGAGTCACGACAATTTTCACAGTTGCATATTTATACCTGGATAGTATTTTTTGTGATCATTTCATTTTGCATTGTCATATAATTCTTTTCACAGGCATGAACATCATTGTCGTTCGTTCCCCCTAGAAAAGGTGCGAATTCCACGCGGAACTGCTGCCCGTGCTCATTTTGTAGTCATAAACAAAGGTGCTCGACGATTCTATCTGAACTCTGCTACGAGGTAGTGTACAATCCAAATACCTTTTTCTTGAATTTGAAGCAACCTACCGTAGTAAAAGCCGTTGAGGATGCATTGCAATTCATCAAAATGTACATGTGTGTAGCGTAGCAGGAGTTTCGGTTAAAACTGAGAGGGAATACTTCAAAGATGTCGAGGAACAAGTCATTCGACTTCAGAGCAAGGTTTGGAGCAATTTACAGTGCTTTTAAAACTAAAAAGTACTTTCTAAAGAATAGCACGATTGGAAATCTGCTTTGCTTTAAGAATTAAAAAACACTGGAATTACTTCTCCCGAACATGCGAAACTGGTGGCTTGTTCTACCTCAGAGCAATTGACCACTCCGGAAAATACCATAACATACGATAATGCTCTTTGTTTGTCACCCCCAAATTTTGCATAAGCGTTGTCTTCTGTTTCCCTTGCGAGTTGAAATAGCCCCAAGAGAAACTGAAAACAATGCTTATGCAAAATTTTGGGGTGACCAACAAAGACCATTATCGTATGTCATGGTATTTTCTGGAGTGATCAATTTCTTTTTGGTATTCAAGAACGATTTCACAGCTAAATTTTGAAGCACTTTCTACTTACGGACTTCTGCTCCAACGATTTATCTGAAATTTCTCAGGCACATTTATCACATCAATAAAAACCGATACCAGAAATTTCATTAAAAAGTATCAGTAAAATTTTTTACTAGACGCAATTTTCTTCGAAAAGTGGGGTCCTTTTAAGCACTAATTTCGCAAAAAATATTTACCATCAACAAAATCGGAATATTTCATATTATTGCCGAATAATATCTGTAATTCTTTGCAAAGTTTCGCTGCCATCCCCTTAAAAACGAAAAGGTTGTGACGAAAAGTTCGCCATAGCTAAATGCAAACGTATTATTAAATGACGGAACCACCTTAAACCACCAACATAATAATATTGTACAGTCATGGGAGTGAAGACATACATACAGGTTAACTATTTTAAAAAACAACCCCTTGACATCTTGCTAATTCTCAAATGTAAGTGAAACTTGTGAATTTTTTGTTTGTGGCTTTTTTGGAATAAGGAAACATATTGGTGAATTATAAGCATGTTGTTAATGATCTCCACGAAATAAAAATCAATATGCAAAACACATCTAATTTCCTGGCAATTCTTTTGTGACTCTTATGTCCTCCACAACAAAACAAGGTATTTCTCTTAATCAAACAATGTCACTTTTAAGTCAATATCTGGTTTTAGTATATACAACTGTACTTAAACAGTGGATAGCGTTTTCCCACGTTTTGATTGGCTGCTCAAACATGGGATATCCAGTGCTATTAACCTTTGAGCGACGTCGAACCCGCATAAGTTACGAGCAAAATGGCTTCCCGGTTTGCTGCTATAACAAACAAAGAAATTTTACAAATAATAATAAAAAAAATGTTCCCAAAAAACATGAAGAACGAAACGGAATTTGATTTGGAAGTTTTTTTTATAGGTAAAGCTTTGGCCGTTTAACGTCATAATTTATTAATGGCACTGGTGAAAAAGTTTTTTTGTTTACAAACGCAAGTTAAGTCTTGTGTTACTTTATTTAGCTGACATGTTCATAAATAAGCCTAAAACAAGGTTTTTGATGGCTTTTTGTACAGAATTGTCTCAAATACAGGAATGATTCACATCTCCTTTTTTGTGCCCACAAGAACTAAAAAATGCCTTGAAAAGCTTGTCAAAAAAGACAACGTGACAGGTGTAACTTCAGTCATTTGTGTAAAAAAATTGTAATCATTGGTGGCAATAACTGTGCTTAAAAATAATAATTTTTGAGCTCAATCATCTCACTGTTTCAGTATCTACTAAATTCACAGCTTGGAAAACATCCACCACTAGCCACCGCCACTTCGGTGAACAATTGTTATTTATTATACATTGCAATTATTATGTCTTTTCATTGGCTAAGAGCCTACGGTTAATTTGGTAATTAGTGAAGCCTACAGATTATTCACATGTAGTTAATATCTGCTAGCAGATAACTGACTAATCTGTAGGTTGCGTGTGCAATGGATGATTTCCAACTAGAGCCCAAAGTGCAAAGTTGTGGTTGTAGTTATTTTCTTTAAAACAATGTACAATAAAACAATTATTATATTCCACTTTTGTGATACTGACTTCGGCTCGGCTGATAACATTTTCCCCAACCTGAATTATTCCAGATATCACAAAAACCTTGTCCAGTAATTGTTTACTATCTTGTGGCCACCATACTGCTCAGAGCTTATTCCAGTGGCCTTAAAATTTCTTCAATTGTCTTCCCAACTGAAATTTGCAGGCAACTTTCTCGACTGCTTACAAAGAGATACTAAATTTTCTTGTACCACAGTTCATGGGTGTATTGTGCGTTAGTCTGAGATCATGCCATCCTATCTTTGTTATGTTTTCGTGGGAAGGAGCACCAAATTCTAGACAAGTAAGCACGCGAAGTCATGAAGAGTCACTCAAGTTTTACTCTTATCCTCTACCCTGATTGGTCAACAACAAAACAAAAGGTTTATGTCACAAAAAATGTTTGGCTGCCGAGGTCTGCAGACATTACTTTACGGATGGAGAGCAGCAATGACCAGAAATACATTCTATGTCTGCATTCGCAGACTACCTATTCATATATTTTTGGTTTGAATTTTAATGTTTTTATTGTTGAATTTTATTTTTTTATTATTTTTGTTTGAATGTAAAACATCCATATGTTAAAAAAGAGGAGTTATAAGCAAGTATTATTTATCCCCCCAAATTTTTTCTGACGTGAAAACATAACAGAGGGTCCACAATAGGGGTTCTCAAATCCCCCCTTCCCGCCTATATTTTCTTCTTAATCCCGCTATCCTGCATTTTTTTCGAATCCTGATCCCACCCACATTTTGTCATGAGTTTCTTGCTTGGATATTGAGAAAGACACTAACCTTCCTGCCCACATTTTGTCATGAGTTTGTTTCTTGAATATTGATAAAGACTACCCTTCACGCAATAGGCTTCATGTTGACGGTTCTTAACATCACCATTAATGACTATATTGTCTGTTTAGAATGGTTTTTTTCTCTCAAAAATGAATTGTTCACTTTGATTTTGGACTGGCCTCGATATTCTGATTCCTGGTCTTTTGCAATAATGGTAATAATTATAATGGTTTGTTCACAGTAAATCCATAAACTAGAAACATAGTTCTTCACGTCAGTGGCTAACTTCACTGCTATAACTAACTTATTCATAACACTAACTTTTTAATTAGCTCTATATATTCTTAATGTGCGTGTAAAACTTTACATGCAGATTGTTAGTATTCGGTTTACTTGAGTTCTTACATCCTTGCCGGAGCGAGTGTAGTTGTACTTGTGCAGGAGGCTTTGTTAGCATAAATCAAACTTTTGTGGCACGTTCAAATGTTAGTATTATATGTTAAATGGGCTAAAAGTGATCAAAGTTTTTTGACCAAATGAACACTCTTTTTAAATTTTTACATGTTCTTCGCTTGAATCTTCATTTGTAGACTTTGCAGAGATTATAAAAAAGTTTAAACTAAAATCAGTTTCAGTTATCAATATTCACAGCCATTTTGATGGACCAACTACTCTGTAATGTGACACAGTAATTTACATCCCTGTTTTGGTGACAGGTCGCTTCTACATGCATTTTGTTCACAGCATTTCATCTCCTGCTTTTATTTAGCTCACTGCTTTTTTTCAGTAGCAATCTCTTTTCTCCTTCCTCCAATGTATGTTCGAAACGGGCTAAAAAGACTAATTTCTTACTCTTGAAACAAGTGAAAAGTTCTGCCATTTTGAAGTCACAATCAAAACAACTCAACCTTGTCCCCAGGTCTACTCGGTTAACAGTTCAATTATCTACAACTTTGCTGCACTTTTGACATCATCGGTCAAATTAGCTGGTAGCAAAACCATCCATGTGGGAGCTTACTACAAACGAAGATACCTTAATTGAGCTGGAAAAGTCCCTGTCTATGAAAAAGAATAACCGCCACCAAATACAGTGTACTTCTACATCTGTAGGTGAGGATTTCAATCTCCCAGGTTGTTATTGGAAAAATCAAGTAGTCAAGCTGTGCAGTTATCCTGCACTACACCATCAGTTTGGTGACTTACTGGACGATAGTGGCTTCATACAACTTGACACTTTAGACTTGACCCTCTCCAATAATCCCTCCAGCATCATGAATGTCTCCATTTTAGCTGGACTTTCAGGCCATGATTGTCCTATTATTAACATTTACCTCAAACCAATAAGATACAAACAAAAACCTACAGAAATTCCTTTGTTTAGCAAAGCAAGATGGGACGCTTTTGAAGAAGATCTAACGTTGATTGGCAAATTTCTGTGTGATGAACACAATGGTTTATCAGCAAATGACACATGGCGTAGGTTGAAAACAATCATACATGAAGGCATTAACAAAATAATATGTATGGCATAAAAGATATAAGTCCAAAGACCACCTTCCATGGATAACAAGGGATATTAAGAAACTAATCACGAGAACGGATATTTAAATTGTCTTGTAAAAAGAAAACCATGCTAAGATCGCATGCACATGATGCTCAAAAACTTACAATGTTATCTAATTAATTCAAAGACAAAAAAGAGCAATACAAGGGAAGTCGAGAAAAGCATAATGGGATTATGTTGAGACCATAATCACACCTACGAACAATGAAAATCACAACAAATTGAGACTGAAACATTTTTGGATGTTTATCAAACTGTGTCCAGCGTTAGCAAATACGCCAAATTTGGTGTATTTAATGTTCAGATTACTCCACTGAGTCACTTCGACTTCAGAAATTTTCGGTAACAAACAGTTTTGTCCTTACCTTTTCACAAAAATACAATTTACGTTAATTGTAAAGGTTGTAAACCTTAATTAAATCATCGAATTAAAGAATTATACTGCACGACAAAACAGGAAGAGGGTAAATTACTGTACGATCAAAGTTTACTCGATGACCGCCACCATCATGGATGCTCCTCAAGAGCAAGTTTAATCTCGGGTCAACAAATCTAGTTCTTAAAATGCATGTATACCTTTGCCTTTGAGCAGTGTAGTGTCCAAATACACAGTGAACAGAAGATTCCTAACGTGGTGTAAAATTTGTTCTATTTCAAGGAAATCTGCCATAAGTCTTTTCAAAACTTATTTACTGGGCCGAGGTGCTTCCGCAGAATGGCAAAATCAAAACACAAGTTGCTTCTGTTTGAAGTCCACAAATCCAGTTCGGTTATGCTGGTAACAAAGGCTGTTTTAAGTTTATAAATGACATCCGTAAGCCTTTCTTCGCTGTTCCCAGCTAATGTAAAATACGAGAAAAATGGGTTGAAAGAAGTCTTCTTGTGACATGTAGAGATAACGACAAAATGAAAGGTTTATAAATCTTTTTCCCGAAGTAAACATTGGCCACCAAGTTGAAAGTGTTCCATTTATGTTACTCTCACTATGCAGTTTGAATTTCACTTGAAAGTCCGCTGTACGGCTTGACAAGAAGCTTGGAACAGTATTTCTTCGCATTGTGTGACTTCGCGTGACAAAGTTATCTGACATTACGTCTGTTGATTTTGCAAAAATGTAATAACAAGAAAACTTGGGTTTTTGTATTCTTTCGAATTTGTTTTTGTTTGAGTATGTGTAAAGTAATATTTTTTAGTTGCTCTGTAGTAATTCCTAATGTTTTTACAAGATTTATTAATGATAGTGTGAGCCTACGCATTGAACCGCTGACTGTACGAAATTGTTCGCCATGGTGTCGTTCTGACACAGTTACAATATTAGTTCCTTAGTATCAATGGTGCACAGATATCAGATCCTGACAAGTCAGCAAATCATTTAAACAGGGCTACTGGAATTATGCGTGGATGCGAAAGTGCATAATTCAGCTCTGAGCTCATAATTTGCATAATTCCCGAAAAAACTCATAATGGCACATAATTTTCGAAAATTTTGAAAAATCTATATGTTTTTTCATACCTTGAGAGATGTGTGGAAATTTTTTCCCCGTAAATATAGTACAGATAGCCACCGCTTTGTTGCAAAAAGCTTTCCATGGAAAGCGCATGGTATTTAAACGTTAGTAGTTGAGGCAGAAATGATACAAATTAACAAGTACTACTTCCAACACAAAAGCAGTGAGTGTGTGAAAAAAATAAACCCAAGTTAATGTACGAAATTCAGAGAATCTATATCTTCCTTCAAATGATTGGAAAAGGCATTATCACTCATTGGTGCACTGGATCATCACAAAACATTTCACTTGTGTTGTTTTTTGGGCGAGAAGAAATCAATATGCTGATGTGGGTAAGATGTTTTTGATGTTTTTTAGAATCAGTGACACAAACTGGCACAGCATTGTGATCGCCGCCAAGGGGAGCATAATTACACTCGTTGTAAATATGAACACATGTAAGTACAACTGGAAAGGCTTAAATGAGTCCGCATTCCCCGCTCATTTATACCTAAGTTAGTTCTATATATATTTCGAGACCATGCAGTAAATTTCACAGTCGACCTTATGCAAGGAGCGTTTATCGATAGATTTCATCACATTGATCCCACAAAAACTGACAATTTCAACGCACCAACATTAGACACCTCTGCTTCTCATAAAATCACAGCAAAATGTCGCATTCTCTGTCCAAAGACACTTTGTAGCAACTTGCAATGTTTGCCCCCTGGCGATCCCATAATCCTGTGCACATAACTAAGTCTCCAATTACTGGAAAATCATTCATTTCAATCAGCCTTCACTACTAAGGGCCCCATACGCGATGGCCTGCTACCAAATACATCACCTTACTGCTGTACTGGAAAACTGCATGGGTTCCACCTGTTTTTAAAAAAGGGTAGAAAATCTGACGCTGCAAATTACTGGCCAAATTTTCCTTAACATGCATTGCCTGTAAGGTATTGGAACATGTACTTATCAGCTAAATAATGAAGCACACCCAAGTGAACAACATCCTAGACAATTTACAATGTGGCTTTAGGGAAAAACGCTCCTGCCAAAATCAATCGTTAGAGCTTATCTGGGTCATTCCACGATCATGGGCGTTACATTTGCATGAGTGTAGTTAGAGAAAAATCATTAGAACAGATACATAATAACAAACAACCATTCCCTTTCACTTTGTTTGTGACAGATAGGTATTAGTTGCATGTGAAGTGAGAAACTCATCAAATTTACTATTATGCAAATGTTACAACCAAAGAAACCACGTTCTTAAGTGCAAATGTTAAACATAAAATTCCTGTGAATTCTGCAAGTATAACTAAAAACAATTGATATTATTTTTTAGGTAAATAGTGATACTACAATAACAAAGTGATAAATACATGTATTTCTTTTGTGAAGTGTGCCTTCTTTGCTTGATGACAAAACGCTGTCATGGATGTTACATTCTGGATCATGGATGTTACAGAGGGTAAAAAAGATAAAGAAATCACTGATGTCAAAAATTTAAATTCCCTGTACCTTCTTTCTTTCCCACAAACATTAGAAAACTGGTCTATTGATTAGAGTATCTTTCAGTTCCACATTATTCTCAAATTTTAGAGACTGTGAGCAATTTAGAAGTTTCCACAGAGCTATATTGACGACTTGATATGTTTACTTTAAAAGATGAAGTAACTTACACTTGACATTAATTTTTTGTTGACAATTGTAATTATTAGTAATGTTGTCCTTATAATAATTCACTATTGTCTCCAATAAGATTCTAAGTGCTCTCTTTAACTCCATAATAATATTCAGCAATGCCGAATATACATTATTGTTGTTATATAAAATTTTAGTATTATAACCAGGCTTTTTAGGCAATTATTAGTGAGCTTCCTGCATTAATCATAACTATAACAAAATTCTTAAATCTGATTGGCTATCAACTGCCCTAATTTCAGCCTTAATAGGACAGTTAAATAGGACAGTACACGTCATGCTTAAGTAATTGGACAGTACGCGCCATCACGTGTGCGCTTAAATGGCTTTTTTTTCACAAAAAAAATCTCGGGATTTCTTGTGTTTTGATTAAAAAAGAGCCTAATAGATCACAAAATTTTGTTAAAGTTATGATTAATTGGTAACAGAACTTCGTGTTGTCCAATTCGGTCTGTAATCATACTCGTGATTAGTCAAATAGGACTGCGGCTATGCGGTCGTCCGATTTTGTTAATCACTTGTATGATTACAGACTGAATTGGACTCCACTCAGTCCTGTTACCATTATTTATTGTTTTCATGATGTAACGTCCATGAAAGTAACATCCATGAAGTATGAGAAATTTAACATTAAATTTTTTGTGTCCTTTCGGAACTGATTAGTTTTGTTGTCACAGATGTATGTTACTTGGTCAAATAAAAAAGCATCTTTGTTATGTTTTGTACTGAGCTTAGACAACAGCTGTGAGAGAAAAAAAAAATTTCTTTAAATTTCATGGACGTTACGTAACGTCCATGTCAATAGTTTTGGCAGTTACTGATTTCTCCGAAAAAATGTAACTTGAAAATACTGTGGTTTTTAATGGAGAGTTATGGTTAAACTAAACATTTCAAGTTACATTTAATCTTCATTGAACTCAGTTGTTTGAATTATGGTTAAAAGATTATTGAATTCATTATTACCGGGATACGAGTCTTTTGGTAGTCACTTACTTTGGGGACCCCCCTCAGTATCAAATGGTGGATCTGCACTTACACTAATGTATGTCCTGATGATTTTTGAAACTTCAGTCCTTATGCATTTTGGCGGTGCACTTAAAATCCAAGAGTAGTTTATTTCAAAAATGGTCATTTTTTCTTTTCTCATGTGGAATGGACCATCCATGACTTAGCAAGCAACATGCAGGGAGAGGGCCAAACTGATGTACTTATAACGGATTTTGAAAACGCTTTCGATAAAGTTGGTTATCGTCGCTTAATCCACAGGCAGGAGTTCCAAAAGGCTCAGTATTGGGTCCTTGCCTCTTCCTGCTGTACATACAGCCCTGTACATGTAAAAGATCTAGCTGAAAGTTTGTCCATCAAGGTTAGACTACTTGCTGATGACACTATATTATACCTGGCTATTCAGTCTATGAACGATTCTGTGAGCCTACAGGAAGATCTACGATGATTATTATTTTTTTCTATGGAAACCCTTCACAACCCTTACAACTTCGAAGAATCATCTTTATACACAATGTAGATGGAGCCAAGTAATGGAAGAAGATGAAGAAGAAGAAGAAGAAGAAGAAGAAATTTTTCCAAATTTTTGGTCGACGATAGCTGGTTATGATGAATTATGAGTGTGATTTTAGCCAATCAGAAATGGAGAAATATTTTGAACGAATGATAATTGTTTTAGTATATTCACACGAAGTGATCTCAACAGAATCAGAAAAGAAACCATTAAAAAATGATTTGCTTGATTGACGGGTGAATTCATGTGTGAACACGAAGCCGTAAACAGTGGATGCGCAAAGATCTTTACAGTATCTTCAAACATGGCAAATGATAGTTTTAATCTTTTTGTATCGAGTTTTGTAAGCTTTAGCATCAACGGTTTAAAAGAGAACGCTGAAAATTTAGATTACTACCCAATTCTGAGAAGAAAAGTAGAGCCTTACTTGTTTCTGTCAACTCACCGTGAAGGAGAAAGTTTTCTTTGTCGCTTCTCGCAAATGCTGTCAACAGCGGTTACGATCAAGGTGAGCGTTGTTTATCTGCAATGTTCTTAGCCTTGTTAACTTGTTGACATGTACAATTTTCGAAAATATTTGCCTTCCTCTTTTCTCCATAAATTAACTTCTATTTATAGGCAAAATTGGTCTTGCGAGAAAATCCCGAAATCACAAAACAGTGACAAAGCGGCCTCGTTTTCCTCTGTAGTGGTAAACATAGCGTCGAACGTATACAAAAAGTCAGCTACAGTAAACCACTTCACAATAAATCACGCTGTTTAAACACCATGAAGTCTTTTCTTGCCTTCAAAGTCATCAGCACTTGGATATTCACGTATTTTCAAAAAGGCTTTCCTATGAAACTTTTGCAAAACACCCAGTTCACGACAGCGATTTTGTTCTGCTTTATATTCACCGCCTTGCACGGTGAATATAACGTCATAGTCCGAGATAGCTAACCAATCAAAATGCGTGAATTACCAAGATCACTGAGTGTGTATTTAAGCAATAGACCACACTTTCTATGGGTTTACCGGCGTGATAACCCACGCGGGATGTTGGGAGAACACGAGAAAAGCTTGTAAATCACGAGCCGAAGGCGAGTGATTTACAAGCTTTTCGAGTGTTCTCCCAACATCCCAACTGGGTTATCACGCTGGTAAACCCATAGAAAGTGTGGTCTATTGCTTTTATAAAATAACTTTTAGTAGAATGGAGTCTTTTAGGTAAAAAATATGGTTTTAGTACCGTGATCAAGTCATTACTTCTCTCTAAAGTCATCATAAGCCAATCATGACTCACGACTTACAGTCAAACCAGGTCAAGCGTACCCCCCTAGATTATATTAATGGATCGATTATTCCAAAGTTCAACCCGTTAGTCGTTTCAAATAATGTAATCATTTTTGAAATGTTCGAATCAAACTTCGATTGCTGATTGGACTTTGCGAACAAGGTATCTTCCTTATATGGGAAGTCGAAGCAAGAGACTTTTTCAACATGGCGTCGAACATGGCGGGAAAGGTGAGTTCGATCAAGTGATGTGGGAAACCTGTTTCAAATGCTATCATTGAGAACTTTTTTGGGCTTCTACATCACATAGGACTTGTAGAAATTCTTATTCGTATAAGAGAGATTTCAGGCGAAGTTCTTGCAAGCTTTCTCTTCAATGTTTTGGTGACTAGTGCTATTTGTTGTGTTTACATAAAGCTTAAGCCAAGTCCTACACATTTTTCATTTTCAGGATTCCAGGGAAAGAACAATTTTGTTAGATTATAAAGGGCTAAAAAAGGTGTGTTCTGTCAAAAGCGATGACAGTGATAAAGTCTCCTTGGTCGAACGCGTTTTTCAAACTCGTCTAGTCTCTTCCGCACGTTGCATCGTATCATTGCAGCGTTTTGATCCAGAATGGGAGGACCTTGTCGATATCGACATCGCTCAAATAAGAGACCGAGATAAAATCAAAGTAGTGACAATAGACAACAGCCAAACATCCATGGCAGGTGAAACATCTACCGCTAGTCTGGATAGCCATGATCATGGTGTAGAACAATTAATCCAGAACCTGCAAGAAGAGAGAACTGGTCTTGATTATAACCTCAGTATAGCACAGGCCACCCTGGAGTCGCTGAAAGTCGCCCCAAGGGAAAGAGGTCTTGCAGGGAAACACACTAATTTTACTTGCAGCAGTTGCCATTACAAAGGACACCGTGTTAATAACTGCATGTTGCATCCCTGTCGTGGGTACTATGAATGTGGCCAGCTCTCATTACACCGGGAACACAGAGATCACTTAAAACAGGTTAGTTGATAGACTAAATTTTTAAGCAACAGAAAGTGTTTTCCGTGTTTGCACGGCCTAATATAAGCACAAGAGGGGTTGGGAGAATTCTCGACAGTTTGCATTGTCTCGGGTTTGCATAACTTTCTTGCATTCTCCCAACCCCAATCTCTCTGGTGCTTATAGCAGGCTATGCAAATACAGGAAAAATGTTTTCTATTGCTTTTATAAATTGACTTTCCCAAGAAAAAATGCAACACTATTTGTTATGGCATATATATTAGCAAAAGATTTTAACATACCAAATTAGGAAAGGTATCATTGTTTATTTCAAAACAATGGGGCGCATTGAATATTCAAAATAACCAATGGCATAGCCTTGACAACCTTGAAGGTAAATGTCCCGTGAGTAGCCTCCACCCCCACCCTGTGTCCTTGAAAGATGCACTCTTCTGAAGTGTGGTTATTGGTGTCATAAAGTGATCTTTAAATGTCTACACTGCACATGATTATGGTTTCTGTGCATTTACTGGTGACACTTGTTATTGTTTAATCCAGGCTGAAGCTGAAGTGAGAGAAATCCAAAAACAGCTGAAGAGAAATATGGATGAAATAGAAAACTACAAATTGCTCAAGTATGTCATCATTATTCAATATTGCACAAAGAGTGTGTGTGTGTTTTTTTTGGAGCATCCAATGTTTTATGTTTGGCAATTGTTATATAATGTAAGGTTATCAAAAGGTGACAGAAAAGGCTGAACTTGTGCAGAGACACTAACACACTAGAAACATTGTTGGTTGAAAATTGTAATTTGGAGAGAGGACAGGAAAACTACACCAGTAATTTTAGTATTGCATCATTACTTTTAATACTTCTTGTCCCCACTAACCTGACTCAATGAAATCGATCACAGAAAAACAGGTAAGAGGTGTGGCTGTAAGGGGAGGTTTTCCATTTTGCTCAGGGAAATTTCACATTTGTCAGGGAAAAGGCAACATTTTGAAATTTATTGTTTGTTGTGACCATGTATAATATATATGTATGTACATTATTGTTGTCTTCCCATCATATATTCAGATTCTTGTCCTTTTTTTTTTTTAGGGAAAGGACAAGAACCAACTTTTTGCAGTCACTAGGAAAAAGCTGCAGTGTCATAATCCCATCAAGTATTCCAACAGAACAACACTAGACAATGATCTAAGAATTTTAGCTACTGCATGTAATCATAGGGTTCCATCAGACACTGCAGATTTAGAGCAGATAATTGAGAATTATAGAAATAAGGCAAGTAGGGTGAAGTCTGTTCAGAATCATGTTTCACATGATTATAATCGCACTGTGTACCAGAAACAGAATTTGAACCAATGTAAATCGCCAATAACAATCAACAACCAATGGGCACCATTTAGCATGCCTCATTCACCACCATACTATGAAACTCAAAGTCCACCACCATACATGCACCATCGAACCCCAAGTCCTGTGTCCCGTTGTCGGCCACCATATATGCAGCGCACAACTTCAAATCTACGTCCACAAAGCCCAAGGTGGCATTCTCCCTTTCAAAATGTCAATTACAGCAGACCTAATTTGTCACCTGCCTTTTCCCCACAATATCATTATTCACCCATGGGAGGGTATCATCAGAAACCACACCAGACACACCCCAACCATTCTCATAGAAGTTTTAAGACTCGCCTAAATGAACATGACCATCCCTCCAAGAAGAGACTTAAGTATACCAACCAGGCGCACAAAGAACCTGGCAAGAAATTCAGGAATCTCTTAAAAGTGTAGCTGAAACTAAAACTGTTACCACTATTGGGTCAGGTGATGAAACACAAGATGATTCTCCTGTGGAAAGCCCTGGTCCTAAAACAAGCAGCGCAGAAGCAGAGGCAAGTGTGGTGAAAAGCAGTGATGAATGTTTTTCACAGTCTATAATAGAGGAATCTTTTAATTATGATGAATGGGTGAAAAAGCAAATTGCTATAACAAAAGAAATCTCTAAAAGTGAATAAGCGTGTAATGTTCACTTTTTGGAATGATCCATGAGCTTGTAATGTTTATATTTTTGTAAAAATTGTTCAGTTTAGTTCTTCATTGTTATTTTTGTCTACATTGGTCTATGAACTGATGGATCCCTTCCAGTCAAGCCAGGTCAAACATACCCTCGAAGATTCCATTTAATGAATTCATTATTTAAAAAGTTGAATTGTGTTAGTAGTGGTAGATTTCAGATTCATCTTTGCATTGCTGTGTGTGTATTGAGTGGTGAATTCACAGGCATGGTAGTTATCAGATTTCTACAAGCTCAGTTTTCTTGAATTTCATGTAAATGTCTTCAAAGCAATATTAGCCATTCAAAGATTTCTCATTACATATGCGGGAATGCAGATATTAATTATATACCAGTTGCGGCAACAACAAATGGATTAATTTTTCCAAACATTTATTTTTGAATAGAACCTTGGGGGGAGGAGTGGTACACTTGACCTGTCTTGACTGTAAGATGCAAATTCTAGAAAGGAAAATACCGGTACACTATATATACACCCGAAATGTTGAGCCAGTATGGTACAAGCTGTCTTTCAATATAATGAGAGGCTTCCAAATAATATTCAATGGTAATATTGCACCTAAAAAAGATGCACATGTAGCCTGGTTTCTCGC